TAACCCAGCCTCTTCATTATAAACTGTGGCTTGGAAATTTCCTTGGTTTTTCTTATTTCTCTCCGCCTGTGCATCTGATATGTGCTAACTTTCCAGATTCTGAGAAAAATAGACTTCTTTATTATTCCAAAATGCCACCTCCTTATCACATGCTTACTTTTAAACTCCTACAACAACCTTAATAAACTCAAATTGTATACTTTTATGAACGGTCAAAATTTAAGAATGTTTTAATGCATATAAAATTGTTAAACTACAAATAATAAAAATACTATGACAACTAGGCCTTTGATTTTTATGTAATCATCACATCCTACTTTGAAGCCTTCAAATTCAAATTATTTTCTGACTATGATCTTTTTATTTTTCCACTTTACTTCCAGTCTGTCTTTCTCACTGATTGTCATCTTCCGTACTCATCCCCCAAGTTATCTCTCTCTTCTGGCTTAACAGGCTTCTCTGTTCAGCCTACACTCTGTTGTCAGTCATTTCAACAGCTTTCTAATAACATTCTAGAATCCTGTAGTCTGTGTTTCTAAAACATATAATTCTATTCAGTGCCATTTCATCGCTTAAGATAATGCCACACATTGCTTATGTTCTCCCACTCTTCTTTTAGAAGAGGCCTGTTCTCTGTGAGCTCAGGGAATATTCGACCATTGTAGCATCACGTTGTACTTCTGTATCATCTCTGCATTCTTCACTACTTTGTGACTGTTCCTTGGTCTCAAAGGTGCTTAATGAGTAAGTATAAAGTGATTCAGGGCCTACACAGGGACTCCTGAATGGGTTTTGTTTGGTTTTGTTGTTGTTTTCTTGGTAATTAGAATCTGTTATATCCAGATAAAGACAACTGGGATGTGGAAGAAGTCTGTTATAGAGAATCTGACAATCTAATGACATTTAAAAAAAAAGTTTGTCCTGGGTTTTATGCAGTTATATGATTTTGTTTGGGTAGTGAAGGTGTTTATTTTGCCAAGACAGTATAGTGATTGTTACATTTTAGTGAAAGTACACTAAATCTTTTTACAACCTAGTATCATTAAAGAGTTTTCTGATGTAATTGAATACTTACAGAATGACATCTTTATCATTTTCACTACTTTTCTGGCTTTTTGGTAACTTGAAAAAACTCTATGAACATTCACTGTTAGTGCCTTTCACCTGATACTCTAGCAATGAAAGATACATTATACGTGGAGAATATAGGCATATCACTGCAGTCCTTTACCACCCATACTTATGATGGACAAATTGATGCATAGTTTGACTTGTCTTTTTTCTATTTACTTGTGGCACATTAGTGGCTAAACTGAGAATTAAATCTCGAACTTTCAAGATTCTATGGTTAATCAAAAATTCCTCTTTATATTTGGCAAAATAATGATTAGTGACATAATTTGGATTTTGTGGCTCATTAAAGTATTTGTTGGTCTACTGTATTGAAAAAAGTGGCAGTTGTGGTATATCTTAATGTTTTCTTTTATGAAAGGTGTTAGAAGCAGGAAAACTTTTATACCTCCTGAATCTCCCTTGTTTAAAAACTGTACACAAATGACTGTTTCTCAAAATAAAGCCATGATTGTTTAAAATGGACAGGAAACAGTACTTTCTGCTGGTCTTACATGTGTGTTTATATACCTATATTTATATCTGTCTGTCTTGAACCAATTAAAAATGTTTTGCTGTTAAAAATTACTATTTCGATGTGTCCTGAAATAAGTATGAAATGTTCATTTGTAAAATTGATTTTTTTTTATATCATGAAAATAAGAATATATTTTGACAGTTTATTCGTGTTGCAGCTGCATTCCTTTGGAAGCAGCGTGATATAAAGATGACATTGAGTTTTGAATGTGATGGAAAGGTGCCTCACTTTCTTTGGCACCTGTTTTGAATCTCATTTAATAATATCCCTTGGCACTTCCAAGTAAAAGCCAAAGATCCAGTTTCATGAGCTAATGTGAATTGTTCTTAAGGATTTTTATTCCTTTATGACAGCGATACTCCCCTTTTTTTCCCTACCTCGATTGCCTTCCTTTCTCCATCTATTGCCACCACTATGCTTCAGCCTCCCACCTTCCCTTGCCTGGAATATTGCAGTATTCTTCCAACTGATTTTCTGTTGCCCAGCATCACTCTTTTCTATTTATTCCTCCATTCTGCTTTCTTTCTCAAGTGTAAACCTGATTATGTGAATTCTTGCCTAAAATCTTTTCATGGTTCTTTGGTATCTACAGATTATTGGATACAATGCTTCTCATGATCTGCCTTTCTAGTATTATATCTGAAAATTCCCCCCAACCTCAGCTTCATCTATCTATAACTAGTTCAAATGTATACTAAATAGCCGTGACGTACCAACTCTTCTAACCAAGACATCAGTTATCCCTTCTGATCATGAATAGAGGAGAAATCTCATTCACAATTCTGATGCTTGACATCTTCATTTCTATCCTTTTTCCTCCCATGGATTCTATGCTTGCCCTCACTGGATTGTTTGGTGGCCATCTTCCTGTCTATTAATAATATTTTTAATAGTATGATGCCTATACAATTTCCTTATATCCTCTCTGTAGTTACTAATATCCAGTAAAGTCTTTGCATTAGTCATTGCTACCACTCTCTTTTTTAACTCCTCCCCCCACACCGCCGGAATTTAGCCCCTTCGCCTATTCTATTGAAGTGTTGAGGAACAAGCATTTTATATTGCCATTCAAGCAAATGTGTGTGCCCTCTTTATGTATCCTCTCTATACTTAGCATACTACATTAATCTGGGCCGAGGAAAACTTCCCGTGGTATAGAAACCATTTGGTTCTGTTTACTCAATAACTATAATCATGTTTGTATATCACTTTTACCATTTATAGAATACTTTTGTATTTGGTAATCTATTTGATCTGACAGTCTTTTTAGATGATTACAATCAGTTTATAGACTAAGAAGTTGAAACTTATAAGGGTCAGTGGACTGGCCCAGTACCTCCCAACTGAGTGATGGCTCCTCTAAAGGGTCATGCTTCCTCCCCTTTCAATCCTGTTTTTTCCTGTATTTATTGGTCAGGATTGCAGTTGCTCTGTATACTGGTATATGATTTACTGATTTTAATTAGTACTTTGAATATATTATTTTAATTAACCAGCATTTCTGACAGTTAGGTAAGCCTGGCATTATTAATGCCATTTTACAAATGAAGATAGTGCAAATCAGGATGGTTAAGTGACTCATCCCAGTTTGCCAACTAGTGATTTAGAAAACCAAAATAAGAAGTCTTCAGGCTTTTAGTCTACTGCGATTTCCACTGCCCCATTCTGTCACTTTGCTCCACTGTAAGATATTTTGGGAAGTGGAACACGTTTTTATTTTTCGGATTCCACTGAAACAATTACCTGGTTATGTTATATGTCAAAATGTAAAATATTAAAATTAAATGGCACCTGTTGGTTTAACTTAGCATGAGTGTTATATGCCATAGAACCACTATGATTAAAGGAATGGATAGACATTAATTGTCAGAAATCTGTTACTCAAGGAATAAATAATACTAGAGGCAAGAAGATGTGTTTTAGGGTATGGGATCATTCTGTATCACTCCTTGGCATTGCTCATCCTGCTCTTAGAATAATTCTCAGGCCATTCTTAGCCCATGGAAGGAGGACTATAGGTAGGGAAAATCTACACTTCCAGCAGTCTCCTAGCCAGTAGTGGCAATAGTCCCAAACCGTACGTTAGTTTTGCTCCATAATCCATACTCATTGTTCAAGCAGTACAACCGATTCGTTGTAGGAACAACAGCCTTTCTACAGAGCATCCTGAATGTATATTTTATTTTTTTGGCAGCAAGAATCTTTACTGAGCAGGTAGAAAGTAGAGAGCCTGGAATTCTTTATGATCACAATGACACTTTATTCCAGATTTCCTTTTAGTTGTGGAGTCTGCATAGATCATAGTTTGATTTTGATTTCCTCTGTTATCTAGCAGCTGTTTTTCACTATGTCATATCTGAATATCCACATCTGGATCAGTGTTTATGGAGTTGGGCATGGGTATGATGTTGAGAGAAAAAATATTACAAAGGTGGGTGGCTTTAGGTAGTATATACCAAGTTAAAAATCCTAATTTATGAATAACACTGCAGGAAAGTTTATTATAGGAAAGAGGATGGCATGTAAAGAAATAGAGAATTGGGAGCCAAAAGTTTGAGTTTATTACTGCACTGCTGACTGGTTTTCTGATGTAACAACATGTCTCTAACTCCTTTGAGCCTCTGTTTCCTCTTTTGTCAAATGTAGAATAAAAATACTTTCTCAGGGTTATGAGGATGTAATTAGAGGATTTAGATAAGGACTCTGCACACATAAAGTGCTATTCAGATGTTATTTTAATAAACAGTGATCACTATATATCAGTTCTTTTCAATAATTTAAAAAAATTTTCAATTACAGCAACATAATATTATATTAGTTTCAGGTGTGCAACATAGTGACTAGACATTTATATTCCTTACAAAGTGATCACCCCAGTAAGTCTAGTACCCAGCTGACACCATACATAGTCATTACAATTTTAATGGTGATATTCCCTATGCTGTACTTTAAAAAAAAATTATTTCAGTTCATACCTCCTCTCAACGCTGCAAAGCACACTTTATTATCTCCATTTGACAGACGAGGAACTTACCACTAGCATTTAAGCTCCAGTTTCTTTGCTGTGCTATCATGCTGTTAATAAAGGATCAATAGTAGAGGTTTGAACTTTAACAACAATTTGCATTATGTTTCTAAGAAATGGAAGTGGCATGCTACACTAGGGATGAGGGAGAGCCAGATGATCACTATATGTTCATACTATTTGGGGGTAAATTACTTAAATGTATTTTATTAAGTACCTCTAAAACACTTGGTTATGTTTCTGCTAAGGTTTATGGGTAAAATGTTTTCTTATTCTGATTGTATCAGCAACAAATCCTATTTAATATTTTGTTCTTTTTATTTTTAGTCATTCCTACACTGGTCAAGATTACAGCACACAGGGAAATGTTGGGAAGATTTCTTTGGATCAGATCGATTCGGTAAGCATCACATCCTTTTAAATTTAGACCTTTGTCAAAGGAGGAAGCACAGGTTGAAATAATCTTTGCAACCAAAGATTATTTTTGGATGGGAAAATTTAGAGAAAATATTATTTTGTTGCTTGCCAATTATTCTTAAAGGAAATTTCGTGTGCTATACATATGATTTTTTTAAATCGTAGGAACACCAAAATCAGAAAATTATATTCCGATAAAAACAGGATTTAATAAGTTATTCCAAAGGGGAATTCTTTTAATTCTTGATGATAGCTAAATGGTGTTTATGTGCTTCTGTTTAAATGCCATATACAGTTAAAAAAGAAGAAATAGAAAATACTAAGTGTATTTGTTTGCCAGGGCTACTGTAATAAAACAGCACAGACTATGTGCCTTAAACAACAGATATTTATTTTCTCATAGTTCTGGAGGCTAGAATTCTAAGATCAAGGTGTCAGCAACTTTAATTTCTTCTGAGGACTCTGTCCTTGGCTTTTAGGTGGCTACCTTCTTGCTGTGTTTTCACATGGTTTTTCCATTGTGTTCACATCCCTGGTGTCTTTTCCTCTTCTTAAAAATTGGACCAGGACCCCATCCCCATGACCTCATTTAATCCTAATTACTTCTTTTAAAGGCACCAGCTCCAAAACCAGTCTCACTTGAGGACTTGAACATTATGAATTTTGGGGCATTACAGTTCATTCCATAACACTAAGTATTGGCTCCCTTCCTTGGGTTGCTACTAGGTTACTAGACAGCTCATTTCAACGTCACTTTGTGATTCCATAGTAGAATGAAAGAATGGCATATTCTACTATAACCTGTAGGATTTCTCTTTAAATCATAATTGGATTTCTACTCTATTCAAAAAAGGGGAAGTAAACCAGCTATAAATAATTTTTGTTTAGACAGTTACCAAATTATTTCCAAGAAATTGGAAATATATTAAAAATGTAATGCTTGGAAACAAGAATTATAAAAGGTGAATAGGGAAAAAACTTGAATTTTTAGAGACCAGAATGAATAGCTCTTAACTATTTGAAAAAGTATTATCAATATTTACAGTTAATATGTCTAGAGATAACAATAGGATTGCCCACTTTATACAGTTGATTTGAAATTTGATCTCAAGGATGCCCCATCATCTACTTTCCTCAAACAGTTCTTTCATCTCTAACACTTCCTCTCTACCGTATAATTTGTGTTTGTATCATGTGAATGGTTGGAGGTTAATCATATCACATTCACAAGCAAATGTGAACTTGGTTGGATACTGTGGGAAGATTGAGAAGTATAATCATTAACTTATTTAGTGAATTTATTGAGCCCATCAATTACATACCAACCACTATGCTGTGGATATAGAGGTGAATAAAACAGAAAATATCTCTGTCTTCATTAACGTTACTTGAGGGAGGGAGACGACATAGTAAATAATAAGCAATATAATGATAAAATACATTAAGTGCTATGATTATATATATGAGTCTGTGTCTGAGATCCTGTGCAAAGTGATAGAGATATATCTACATCTGGACCTCTTCTTAACTCTGTATCTGTATTGCCTGATCCTCACAACAGCATGTCATTAGCATACTTTGGATGTTACCAGTTTCTTCTCTAATTGTTTTCTTTAGATTTGAAACTGAAATCTGGCTCCCTCGATGACACTGTTTCCCTTGTGGCCCTTTTCTATTAGAAGCTGCTCTCCATACACACACCCTCTGTAGATATGGAATGCGTCTTCCTTGGTCCACATCACCACTTCCAAACCATTTTTCTTCCTTCCATTGTCAGAACTTAAACTTCTTTAAAGCCCTTGTGATCACATTTTACCACCTGATAGTTCTTGTTGCTGGTGCCTCCCACCATCCTGCTCTCATTCATTGATGACTTTAGCACCCGGCCATGGCCTTTTACACTAGCACTGCTCCTGTTACTGTTCTTCACCTCTGCAACATCCATGTTGATAATTCATCCTATCCGAGGGCCTTATAATTCCTTGTCTGCTCACTATCCACAATCATTTTTCTATCCCATTATGGCCAAACTTAGACCCCATTTTTCCATTTCCATTATTTGGACTTCTGACAAAATCTCTTTAAAAAAATCTCTGCTTCCATTTTTATTTCTATATCGTCTGTTCATTACAAAACAGCCAGAGTTATCTTTGTTTATCAGATCTTGTCAGTTTCCTGGTCAAAACCCTCTCTTGGGTTACCATCACATTCAGACTAAAATTCAGACTCATTACTATAGTCTGGAGAAGGCATATGTACTCATCGTTCCAATTTCATCTTCTCCATTCTGGCCTACTCACTGCTCTAACCACAGGGACCTTCTTCCTGTCTCTTGAACACACCAAGATCATCCCTTCTTAGTATCTTTGCTTGCATGTCCTTCACCTGGAACAGTATTCTTGGATCTTCATTTGACTGGAATCCTTTAAAATATAGGGCTTAGCTGTAATGACATCTCCTCAGAGACGCTTCCCTGGCCACTCAAGTTAAAGTACTCTTTTCCTGTGCACACACAGTCTCATTACTGTTTTATTTCCCATGCTTTTGGAATCAGACGTTATCTTTTTAATTTATGTCTGTGTTTATTGTCTGTCTTCTCCCATTAGAATATAATTTCTTTGGGGATAGAGTGTTTGACTTTTCTGTTCACTGCTGGTTGCCCCGGGCTGTGCACTTGGTAGTATTCAATAGGTATTTGGTGATTGAATGAATAAAAAGTAATCAAGGAATTGTGCCAAAGGAAGCTGAAGTTGAATTGGGTCTTGACAGATGGGTTGGCTTTGGCTAGATGACGTGGGGAGTGGGAGACTATAACAGGCAGGGCCAGTGGAGTGAGAAAAGTGAGAAAGTAGAAAACATGACTGTGTGATTATGGAATAACCCAGCTGGCTGGAGCAAAGGGTTCTTCTTAGTATAGGAACAAACTGGGCTTCTTTTTTTTTTTTTTGGCCCTCCCTGTCACAGTACTTCCATAGCACTTGATTTATACTTTTGTTGGAGCCCTCATTATATAATTTATTTTATGAGTTTAACTTACATAATAGTGAATATAATAGTGACTATTTCTTTTTTTCTTCAATTAACTGAATTACAGGGAAAATTATGCTTTATTCATCTTCTTGTTTCCTAAAACCACCCCATAAATATTTGTTCTGTTATATATAATTGAAAAGTAGTTTGTTACAGACATTGAAGGAACCTTGAATGTTTATACTAAGGATGGTGAATATTCACTGACATTTTTGAATTAGAACAATATTTCAGAAAAAGTTATTTTGTAATAGTATGAAGGAACAAAAATTTACACATAGAAGACTTTCCTGTAGTGCTGCCAAGGGAAGATAGGGACCTGACTGAATTAAGTTTGGGATGGGAAAATTTAGAAGTTGTTACTGTGAAACGGTGAAGAAACTGGGTGGTCGCTAGAGGGAGCAGCAACCTCAAGCTAAGTGAGACTTGCTCCTGCTTACAGGTAAAGTTGAACTTGCCAAGGAATACATGAGGGGGCGGAAATTTAAGTCTCAGGAGGAAGATATTTAAGGTAGTCAGAGAGAATGCAATTGAGACTATAAGTGAAAAAGTTGAGTTAAATATGAACAATGATATTTATCTTTGATGATAAGGAAAAGACTTGTAATTTTCTTCTTTTAACTCTTGACTTATTTAACAAGTTTATTTGAATATTTCTTTTGAAAACCATTTCTCTTATTTTTGTGTTCTATTTTGTATTTAGGTTATTTTAACAGTTCATCTGTAATTCAGAAATTGTACTTTTGAACATTTATCTCAGGGGAATTAAACCTTATATTCACTCAAAAACCTGTATATTCATTTATTTGAAATAGCCCCACACTGGAAACAACTCAGATCTCCTTCAGGAAGTGAATGGTTAAACAAATTGTGGTTCACCCATACCATAGAATCTTACTCAGCAATAAAAAAAGGAACGAGCTATTGATACCTCCAACAATTTAGATGAATTTCATGGGAATTATGCTGAGTAAGAAAGCCAGTCCCAAAACACACATATTATATGATTCTATTTATATAACAGTAGTGAAATGACAAAATTATATATAGAGAGAACAGATTAATGGTTTCCACGGGTTAAGGAATGGGGGGCGGGCAGGGTGCAGAAGATAGGTAATGGTGGTTATAAAAGGGAAACGCGGAGGTTCCTTGCTGCGAGGGAACTGTTCTACATCTTGACTGTGGTGGATGCACGAACCTGCATGTGATAAAATTACATAAAACTAAATGCACTACAGAAATGAGCACATAAGTGCAACTGAGGAAATTAAGGTTAGTGGATTATATCAGTGTCAATATCTCAGATGCTACGGTTTTACAGGATATTAACCTTTGGGAGAACCTGGATATTTGACAGTATCTCCTTGTATTATTTCTTAGAACTGCATGCGAATCTATAGTTATCCCCAAAGAAAAAGTTTAATTAAAAATTTTAAAAGAAAAAGAAATAGATGAAATAAATTTTAATATTTTTATTTAACCCAATATATCCAAAATATTTATGATTTCAACATGTAATTGATATAAAAATGTTAATAGAACGTTTATCTGTAATCATAGTAACATAATCCTCCAGTTTTGTTTTTATTTCAATTAGACTGAATCTACAGTTCACAAATTAGATTGAATTTGCAACAAATACTGTCATAGACCTGATAAATCTTATACATAACCGAAAATTCTCTTTTTCTTATAGTTTTCTACCAAATCCTTCCCACCTTGCATGCGTCAGTTACACAAAGCCTTGCGGGAAAATCACCATCTTCGTCATGGAGGCCGAATGCAGTATGGCCTGTTCCTGAAGGGCATTGGTCTAACGTTGGAACAGGCACTGCAATTCTGGAAGCAAGAATTTATTAAAGGAAAGATGGATCCAGACAAGGTAATTTAAAAAAATCAGAGCAGTAACTGAAATTTTACTTCAGTCTGAAAACTAAAAGGTCTGTTTTTTGAATATGTCCCTGAAATGTAAAAATTCTAAATGTTAAAAATTCTAAAAGATAAACATGTCTGCAGTTTCTTTTAGGTAAAAAGAAACTCATGTATTAAACTAATAGATGTCAAGCAATATTGGGAGAGTTGAGTTCATTCAAAGGGGAAAATTGAAACAGAAATGTATGGTGTAAAGTATTGCTTAAATGATGTGTCTTCTCCTCTGTAGGTATACTGCCAGTGGTTGTTATAAGACCGAAATTGCTTTCTGAGATATATTTTTATAGGAATGTATATGTAATATCTGTACACACATATATGTGTGTGTGTGTATGTGCCGCTGAGTTGGCTCTGACCCCTGGCGACCCTGAGCAAGTGATGTCCGTGTCCTGTCCTCAACAGCCCTGCTCAGCTTCTGTGAACTCGTTCCTATGGCTGCTTTTATGGAGCCAGCCCATCTCATATTTGGTCTTCCTGTTTTCCTGCTATCTTCTATTTTTGTCAGCATTATTGTCTTTTCCAAAGAACTCTGCATTCTCATGGTGTACCCAAAGTAGGACAGCCTCAGTTTGCCATTTTTGGCTCCAATGATGTTTCAGGCTTAACTGGCTCTGGGACTCACTTGTTTGTCTTTCTCGTGGTCCAGGGTATCTATAGAGCTCTCCTCCAACACCATATTTCATATGAATCAATTTTTTTCCTATCAGCCTTCTTCCCTGTCCAACTTCCACATCCATACATAGTAACAGGGAATACAAGAGTGTAGATGCTCTTAGCCTTCGTCTCTAATGACACATTTTTGTTCTTGATCTTGCCTAATTCTTCTATTGCTGCTCCTCATCTTGACTTCCTTGCTGCAGTCTCCATTTGAATTGATAACTGAACCAAAGCAAAATCTTTAAAAATTTTAATGCCTTAATTGTCTATGTTAAAGTTGTGTATTTATTCTGTAGTAATGATTTTTGTCCTCTTGATGTTCAGACGCCGTCCCGCTTCGGCACTTTCTTCTTTCACTTTCATCAGAAGTTGTTTCAGATCATTGCTTTCTGCCTGTAAGATGGTGCCATCTGCATATCTTAAGTTGTTGATGTTTTTACCACCAGTTTTCACTCATCCTTCCTCTGAGTCTAGTGTAGTGTCTCATATGATAATGTTCTGCATGCAGATTAAACAAATAGGGAGATAAAATGCACCTTTGTCTGACACCTTGGCCTATAGAAAACCATTCTGTCTCTCCATATTCTGTCCTGACAGTGGCTTCCTGTCCGTAATACAGGTTACACATCAGGCCAATCAAATGCTGAGGCATGCCCATAGCTTTTTATGATTCAGGCAGTCAAAGGCTTTACTGTATGTAGTCTATAAAACATAGACTAACCCTCCTCTGACATTCTTTGGAGCACTCCAGTACCCAGTGAATACTCGTAATTTGATCTTGATTACCTCTTTCTTTTCTAAATTCAGCTTGAACATTCCACATTTCTTGCTCCATATAAGGTAGAAGCCTTTGTTACATTGCTTTAAGCATCACTTTATTTAGGTGGAGAATTTGAGCAATGGTCTTATAGCTGTTGCACTCCTTGGTATCTCTTTTCTTGAAGATTGGGATGTGTGTTGAAAGTTTCCACTCTGTAGGCCATTGTTTTCTTTTCCTTATCTGTTGACATATTTTTGTTAGGATTTTGACAAATTCAGTTTCTGTGGTTTGAAATAATTCTATTGATATTCTGCCTACTCCTGGTGATTTATTTCTTCCCAATACTTTTAGAGCAGCTTTCACTTCCCTTTCTAGAATTACAGGTTCTTCCTCATAGGAATCTCCTTCAGAGGTATCTGTCATCCTTTTGTCTCCCTTAGCTTAGTTTTTTAGTATACTGTTTCCGCCTTCTTTTCATTTTCTCCTGGTCAGATAATGTGCTTCCTTGTGGGTCATTCAGCATTCCTAATCTAGATTTGAATTTCCCTTTTATATCTTGAATCTTCTGGTAGCGAGCTCTCATTTTTTCTCTGTTGTTCTCTTCTATCTCCTTATATTGACTATTATAATAGTTGTCTTTATCTCTGTGATAGTTGTTAAAAAGTGAGTTCAGGATTCTCACCATGCTTTTCTCACCTTTTGCTTTTGCATCTTGTCTGTCTTTAAAAATTTTTAACAATTTTAACAATTTGTCTATCATTTCAATTTTTCTTTCCTTTTTACATCTGGCATTGTTTTTCTCCATTCTTCCCTGATAACATTTCTAGTTTCAATGCACAGTCCTTCTGGTTCTCCATCAATGAAGTTTAATAGTGCAAATCTATTTTTTTATGTATATTTTAACCACGAGGAATATTATTTGCAGTATATTTTGACACTATGATTCTTTTAGTGCTTTTCTTTAACTTTACTTTAATGTTTGATAGTAACTGTTTGTGGTCAGTCCCACAACCTATTCCTGGTCTTATTTTGGCAGAAAAAATACAGCTTATCCATCTCCTGCTCCCAAATATGTATTTTGATTTCTGGTGATGTCTGTGTGTACAGTCTTCTGTTCACTTGTTTGAAGCATGTGTTTGCAGTGGAAAAGTTCTTGGCTTCACACAAATCCATGAGCCAATCTTCTACTTTATGTCTGACCCCTAGTGCAAGTTTTCTGAAAACGTTTGATTCTTCTTTATTTTCTACTTTTGTGCTCCAGTTGCTTATATTTATCAGCATCTCTTGTTTTGGTGTGCTTTCAATTTCTTCCTGGATAGCTGTATAAAAGTTTTCAATTTCATCTTCTTCAGTCTCTGTAGTTGGAGCATGGATTTGAATGACGGCTATGCTAGTAGGTTTTCCTAGAATTCCAACTCCATATATGCACATACAATGTCATTTTCAGGAGTAGGAGATATTAAGAACAAAGGGAAAACAATTTAAAATGTTTTTGTGTGTGTGTTATGAAGCATTTTTAGGAAGACTTTAATCCCTTTAAACCTGAGAACTGCTTTTAAATCTATCTATAGTACTCAGATCCCCACTCTTATTCTTAATTTAATGGTACTAGCTAATGACATTTTATTTTAGAAGTATGGTTTCTTGTTCCTTCAATGCCATGGCACTGTGATACGAAGTAAATTTTTTACTGTTTATTTCTTGGTTTGCTTTTTCCTAGTAGAAAGATAAATTACAGAACAAAGAATAGTTACCAAGTAAATTTTATAATAAGGTTTTATTTTGGTTGCCATAACAAAATACCATACACTGGGTGCCTTAAACAACAGAAATTTATTTTTTCATAAATAAATTTTTTCAAGTTCTGGAGGCTTACAATCCAAGATCAAGTTTTCAGCAGATTTGTTTTCTAATCTGAAGCCTCTCTCTCTAGCTTCCAGACAGCCACCTTCTTGCTGCCTTTTCTGTGTGCTTTCACTCCCCTGAAGTCTTTTATAAAGACACTAGTCATATGGATTAGAATCCCACTCATACCATCTTACTTAACCTTAGATACCTTTTTAAATGCCCTATCTCCAAATACAGTCACATTTCGAGTTAGGGCTTCGACATAAGAATTTTAGGGAGAACACAATTCAGTCCATCACGTCTCTAGCTTTATATATTTTTAAAAGGTTAAGATTTTTTTATAACATCATAAAAATCTCTTACAGTTTTTATAGATTTGTTTTAAAAACTTTCATTCATAATTATCCATAGAGTCTTAATTTATCATTTAATAGGTTTTTTTAAAACACAGTTTTGGGTAATGTTCATTAGCCTTCCATTATATATTTACTTTATTTTAAAGGTAACATTCTGATTATAGAAAATAGGAAAACACAGAAAAATTTACCTGTCATTTCCTCATCCCGAAATAGTTACTATGAACATTTTAGCCTTTCTCTCTAGTCTAAGTAGCTAGATATCATTGAGTTCCTCCCCTTTTAAAAACAGACGTTATATTATGATCATTTCCTTATGTTGCTGAGTTATTTTTGAAAATATCATTTGGATTATTTGCATAACAACACATCATTTGAAAGTGATACAATTTGGTTAATCATCACCCGATTATTGGACATATGGTTGTGTCTATTTGACTCTATCAGAAATGTTATTGCAACCAGTATCCTGAGCACATAAATCTTTGATTATAGTTCTGATTATGGTCTCTGTATATATTCATCAGGGAATAAAGTTACCTGGTGAAAACTGTAGACCATTTTTGGTGTATGCTGTGAAATTACTATTTGGAAAGGATTTAAATTAAATTCTCATCAAGCTATGTATCTTGCTTTGTCATTGATATCATTATATATTATTACTTTGAAGTGTTCTTTTTTTCATCTTATTAAAAATTTGATATATTATGTAGGTAGGTATATTAGGATTCTCCAGAGAAACAGAACCAATAGAAAGTGTGTGCATTAAGAGATTTATTATAAGGAATGGCTCATGTGATTATGGAGGCTGACAAGTCCCAAGATCTGCAGTTAACAAGCTGGAGACCCAGGAGAGCCCCTAGTGAGTTCCAGTCTGAATGCCAGTAGGCCGAAGACTCAGGAAGAGCCAGCGTTTTAGCTTGAGTCCAAAGGCAGGGAAAAATCTGTGTCCCATCTTAAGGCAGTGAAGCAGGAAGAAATGCCCTTTTACTTTGCATTTTTCTATTCAGATATTCAAAGGAATGGGTGAGTCCCACCAACATTGGGGAGGGTATTCTGTCCTGCCAGTCTACTAATTCAGATGTTACTGTCATCCAGAAACACCCTCATAGACACACCCAAAGTAATGTTTGACCAAATGTCTGGGCATCCTGTGACCCAGTCAGGTTAACACAAAATTAACCATCAGAGCAGATAAACCTTTGTGAGCTGTGAGCTGTGGAGAAAGTTAGGCCATGGTTTTGAAGTGACAAGAGAGAAGTTGAGCTAGCATTTTAGCTTGGTTTGTGCTGTATACTAAGAGGAGAAAGAGGAAAAAGAAGGAAAAAC